TGGGGGTGAGGGGTCGGGCGGGTGAGGGGGTGGGGGGTGGAGGGGGTGAGGTGAGGGTGGAGTGAGGTGAGGGGTGGGGGGTGAGGGGTGGGGGGTGAGCCTTGGAAGCCTCGCCCCCCACACCTGTGCCCAGAATCTGTGTGTGTTCATTACCGCACACACCAAGGGGGGCAGGCGTGCCCCGCTGACTGCTGGACATCACATCAGAACGGCCGGCTGTGACCGGCGAAGGGAAAGGAGCCCAGAGCCCCAGAGGAGGGCAGCGCGCACTCGGGCAGGCGTGGGTCCTTCCAGGCCGCTCCCTCGGGGAGGGCAGGGGACGCGGCGCTCACCGGCTCGGAGGGCCGCTGGCGCCCTCTCGTGGGCGTTGTCGGGATCGAAAGCCGAGAAGGCGCCGCGGGCTCCACCGGCCGGAGACGCTGTCGTCTCATACATGCGGTTTTTAGAGGACGTTGTCGGCTCGGTTCATCACGTCCAGCACGGGGAGACCTTGGCTACAGAGACCATCCGTCTTGGCCTCCGCCTGTAGGCCTCGAGGTCAGCACGGGGCCAGACGCGGGAACTCGGGAGTGCGGGTCCCGGCCCAGGAAGCCTCCTCCAGCCTGGGCCTCGGGGGCTGCTCCGCTCCGCCTGCCGGGCGGGCGCGGTGTGCAGGGCGCGGCTGAACGCCCATCCGAGGTGCTCGGAACGCCACCGCCCGTGACTGCGACTCCTGGCTGGGCTCGCCCTCTCCGGCTCATCGACAGCAAGCCCACGCCTTGCTCACAACCTCCCACGCGTGCTAACCGACAGCCACCAGGCACTTGCACGAGCACTCCTGCACTTGCTCTCGCAGCGGCCCTCTGATTCGCGTGTCCCGGCCTCTCCCACTCTGCACCAGCACCCAGGCTGGCTTTGCGTTCTGAGACAGAGCCGGGAGACGGAGCTCCTCTGTGGACCTACAGCCCAAGTGTCCAGGCTCGAGGGTTCAGTCAGGGCTGCTGGCTTGGCCTTGGCGGGGGAACTCCACTCCCCCTTAGCAGAGAAAGAACGTCTCTGTGACCCATCGGTGGCAGCAGTGCTGACAGCCATGCTGGCCAATGCTCCTGAGTGCTTGCGGCCAGCCAGGCCCATGAGCACTCTACCCACGGCAGCTCATTTAACCCCACAGCAACCCTGGGTCACAGGTAATCCACACATCTGCCATTCCTGCCTACACCAGAATCACTTTAATAAGAGCCAAAGTTACCCGGCTATTACAACTGCCTGTCACAGAGTGTGCATGCTTAACAAGAATTGAATCTACACGCATCTCCCTAGGCAAGATGAGAGGGCTTCCAATTTCCATCACGGACCTAGGAATCAGTTTGTCCTCAGCATCCGTGTGCTGGAGTCACAAATCTCAGAATCACCAAGTGGGAAGAGACATTTGGTCCCACGCCCCACTTCCCAGAGGAGCTGACTCAGAGGCAAAGACGAGAAGAGTCTTGATGTGCATCACACGGACAGTCAGTGGCAGGGCTGGGGCTGGCCCCCAGGTCCCAGACTCTCAGCCCGAAGCTCTTTGCGCCCTCCTGCGCTGTGGCTGCCAGGCACTTGAGTGGATGCATAGTGGGCGTCTCTCCTTCGATGGCCCAGGAAGCTCTGTGGTCATCAGCCTGCCCAGCTGCGCTCAGGAGGCAGCACCCTGCTAACCCCAGCCTAAGGCACCCAAGTGTGTCCCGGTAAGTCAGTGCACTGCTACCTCGCACTGAAAACAAAGACAAAGTCCCCCCTAGAATGGCGCATTCCAAAGGCAGGCAGCGAGCAGAGAGCAGCCTGGGACATCAGCCCTCCTGCTCACCGCACGGGGAATGGCTGTCCTCCCTGGTCCCTGGTCCCTCCCCAGGAGCTACGATGGAGATATCCTCAGCCTCCCACTGGCTTTTCTTCTTTTCCCCAGAATGCCTTTGGGTCACTCGCTGGTGCTGCCACTCGCCGCACCGTTTCCTTCCTGCTGTCTCTGCCCAGGGTATTTGGTCTTCTGCTTCCCATTTTGGTGGGGCATCCACCAGCCGCGACCACGCCCTGCCTGTCACTTCCCGGCTGGAGTCAGTGCCATCCCCAACCTTCCCAGGAGTGGCAGGGCAGAAGGAGAACCTTCCATCTCTCTTTGCTGCTCTGCAGCCCTAGGCTTGGTGGCAGTTCCCTGGTGCAGGGCACTTTAGGGCTGCCTGGCTACGTTGCTGGTGGGTGTTCTGTCACTCAGCCAGCCGGGAAGCAGACCTGCCCTGCTCTAGTTTAAATGGGAGGGTGAGGAACGTGCACAAGGTAGTGAATAAAATCAGGGGGTGGGTGTGTGTGGAGGGCGAGGAAAGTGAGAGACAGAGATGAATCACAGACACCCAGGTGCCTCCCACCCAGACGTGGGGTCAGGAAGACAGACGGGGAGGGTCGGCGACAGCTGCCTCCTCCCACCGGCTTCCTCCAGAGGAAGGTTGGTGCTGGGAGGTGGAGGCACACTCGGGGTGGGGGGCTGTTCTGACACGATGGGGGCCACCCCACAGGCCAGCCTGGGCGCCGGGGGGCAGGGCGTGGCCTCCAGCAGCAGCCAGGGAGGGGGCTGCAGCCTCCGGCCCGTTGCTGGCTCGGACACCTTTGCGGTTCTCCACACACCGCTCAAACCACAAGCCTGGAGTCAGCCGTGGCTTTGCTCTCCCTCGCGCCCATCTGCGGTTCTTCCTGCTGGCGCCCCTTGGAAACGGCCCCGGTCGCTCTGCTTCTTACTGCTCCTCGAGACAGCTGGCCCCGAGCAGGGGTTCTCTCCCAGCTTCTTCCACTTCCTAGCTGGCAACTTAGCTAAGATTTACGTCCGATCATATCACGGCTCTGCTCAAGACCCCAGGACTGGCTTCCCCTCCAACTCGGGGTACAAGCAAAGCCGTATAAGGCCCCAGCGGCCTGCCCCGCTCTCCCCCACCCCGCTGACTCTGGCCTCAGTGCCTGCTCTTCTCCTGCCTGCACTGCCCTCCGGCCACAGTGGCCTCCTTGCTGCTCCTGGAACATGCTGGTGACGCTGCCACCGCAGGGCCTTTGCACTTGCTACTCCGAGTAGAATGTTCCAGCGGTCCCACATCTACATGGCTCCCTCTTGGACCTCTGTCTGGTCTCTACGAGAACACTGCCTTCCAGTTCACCTTTCCTTGTCTCCCATTGTGAGCTGCACTCCTCCCGCCACACCTGGCTGCCGTGTTCCTTCCCTCCCGTCTCCGTCTTCCTCTCGCGCCTGCGTGCTCACCACCCTCCACACGCCTGAGTTACTTGCGGTGCTGACTGCCTGTGTCCCCCGCCAGAACGCAACCTGCCTAAAGGCACAGGGTCTTGCTGCGTTTACTCAGCAGTGAACCTCCGACACCTGGAAAAGTGCTGGCACGTAGTAGGCACTCAATGAATACTTGTGAATGAATGAACAAATGAGTATTAGACACGGTTTGGGAAACAGACCCCCACACAGGAGACGTTAGAGTCATTAGGTTTATTTAGTAAGAAGAGAAGCCTGGCAGAGAAAAGAGTATATGTGTGTGTGCATGTATGTGCACGTGTGTATGTGTACGTGTGTGCATGTGTGTGCACGTGTATATGTGCGCATGTGTGTACGTGTGTGCTGCAGGGATGTCTGACAACCACTTTCACTGCTAGCAAACCATGTGTGAGCCCTTAACTACTTGTATGTAGGTGTTTTAACTGTAAGTATTAACAAGTGCCAACACCTCATTCATTCATTCCCTCACCCATTAACCAGACATTCTACGAGTGACAATTCTGTATCAGGTGCCGTGCTAGACACCAGGTGGACACGTAGCTAAGGACGCAGTCCCTGCTACTGAGACTTCTGCAGCACAGTAATGAGGCTCTGGCACTCAAGACAATCTGGGCAAGCCTAGGCACTAAGACAAATGAGAACCTTAGCAGGACCTAATTAGGAAAGTAAATTCAGTGCAAGAAAATCTTCCTAATGTGTTTTGTCACTAAAAGGAAAAGACACTTGGATGGGTGGCTTCTCGTGGGGCTGTTTGCCTCCAGAGTCCCTGGCAGAGTACAAGACTGATTGCTGAGGGGCTTCCCGGAGTAATGTCACCACCCGTCCACTGAGGACGGGCCAAGAGTGAAGAGCTGTCAGCGTCAAGAAGGGCAATGTGGGTTCCCAGACAGACGTCCCGCTGTCCCGGGAGACCACGCGCACACTGTGCTCTGGGCCTGGGAAGGCCGCGTGAACAGCGGCTCTGGCCTTGATACCCACCCCGTCGTGCAAGACTCGTAAGAGGTGGGTAAGTCCTAACCCCGGGTCACACATCTCGCCTTCTTGGAGAATGGCCCCATCGACGGGTCAGGCCACTGCAGGCAGAGGGTGGTCACACACTTTTCCCGGCAAACTGTGGTGGCCGGCACACCCTCGTGTGTAGTGAGGACACACAGGAAACGGCAGCGCTCTGGACTCTCAGGTATCTGCCTGCTTTTGTCTCCACACTTAACTTGCCCGCCTAGCTTAGCTGTTGATGTTTTCACGCAGTGTGACACACAGCCTGGGAGACTTTGCCATACGTTTATTTGTCACTCGTCCACAGCCACCTCTCTCCGGGGCGGGTCTGCAGCACAGCCGCGCACCTCCTGGGATCCCCACCTCCGATGGCTGTCTCCCTTGCCCACGCCCCAGCCTTCACGCTCCTCCCCCAGCCTCACCCCAACATTCCGCCCTGTCTTTAACGCCAGCGGTCCGGTCTCAGCGCTTCCTGGCCTGGTTGCTGTGCCGGGGAGGCCGCCAGGGGGGCGTCAGGCTGGATCACCAGGGAGGGGGTTCGTCTTCGGAAGAAGGTGAGGGTCCAGCCGCTGTCAGAAATGAGTGCGTCAGTCTCCCGCTCGGACCGCCGCGTCGGCACTTCCCTGCCAGGGAGGAACCAGAAGGAGGGAATGGCTGTCAGTGTGGCGGTCACATGCATGAGGGACGAGACCAAGACACCTGGGAACACCAGCTTCCTCCCTCAGCCCTCTGGCATTTGCCCAGCGATCCTACCTGGTCGTTATGTTTGGCCTCTCTGGTTTGCTCAAATGGCAACTCCCACCACACTCAATTGGGCCCCAGCAACTAATCAGTGCCTGCTGAATACATGCAACCTGAAGCCATTTCTACCTACAGCCATTGTCCCTAATACGCTGTCCTCAACTCTCCATCTTTAATCGTCCCCAAGTCCCCCAGAACCAAGTTAACGCTTGACTTCAGGCCCCATGAAGTGCAGCCTCGTTCAGTCTATCCAGCTGGCTTCCCGGCCCCTAACGCCTCCCCCCGCCCACACTGGTCACAGGGGCCCATCTCGGGCCCTCGGAGTACATCTGGGCCAGACGTGTTCCTCCCTCCCTGAAAGAGTTCTTGGCACAGCCTGGCTCTTCCTATTCCCAGCCGTCAGAATGCCCTCGACTTTCCCTCCCTAGGGCATCCCTCCGGGCCCGGCTGAGCCCCGCTCACCCCTCCACTCCACGAGCCCCTCCCGCCACCCCAGCACGACCGATCTCTCTCTGCTCTGACTTCCTGCTGCCTGTATGGCCTGACCCACATGATATGTATGTGACATGCGTGTAGCTGTTTTCCATCAGAAAGAATGTGAGACTCATGGCCCAAGGTCTTGTGCTCAACGTCTGCCTCTACCATGCCCTGGGCAAAGAAAGTTAAAAGGCTCATTTCTCGTCCCGGATGCAATGACAACCACAGAGCACTTCAGGAGCAAGCCAGGCTCTGGCTAAATGAACCAACCCCAAATCACCTGCATTTCTGTTTCTGCTCCCGTGAAGCGAGGGTGATGATGACTGGGTGTGTTCCAACCTTTCCCGGCTACTGCAAGAACCAGGTGTTTGTGAAACTGCTGTGGAAAAGGCAAAGACTCACAAAACCCCGACTGACGTCACTGTTGAGCCTGTGCAGTAGACTCCTGTGTATTTAAAATATTTAACGTTTGTCATTTCAATTCTTTGGGAGCAAGCCCAACGGTCCATAACATGGAGTAACTTGTAATCTTGCTAAAGCACAAATGTAACTCCGAAGCGCTCTGCGAGCCTGGTGTCCCATCATAGCAGTTTGCCTGGTGACTAAGTGTCACTGACTACCCAGCATCAGACTCACAAGGACATTGCCCAGGTGCTTCCTGCTGGCTTCATCAGAATGCCATAACTCCTGCAAAGAGGTTAAAAATGAAAACAACAACAAAAGCAAAGCAAAAACCTTCCTTGCTTTGTGAAATTCCAGTGGTCATTAAGTGAAAGATAACACTTTAGAAAATGGTCAAAATACAATTTTTTTGGTTATTTCTTTTTGTAACAACTTGGATAGAACTGGAGACCATCCTTTAAGTGAAGCATCACAAGAATGGAAGAACAAAAATCGCATGTACGCACTACCAAATTGAAACCTATAGAGCAACACTCACGTGCACACATGGCAGTAAAACTCGACAGAAAGCAAGCAGGTGTTGGAGGAGGAGGGGTTGGGCAAACTCACACGGAGCAGGGCAGGAACGATGCACACTGTATGCGGGATGGACACACCACAATTTTGACTCAAACTGTACAAAAACAATTCATGTAACCAAACGTTTGTACCCCCGTAATATTCTGGAAAAAAAAAAAACATAAAAAGAAAGAAAGGGGAATGAGCAGAGAATTCATGACTCCTCCCACACAGGGTTCCGGAGAAGGCTGGGCTGGCACTTCCGCACTCACAGCGGCGGAGCCGTGCCGGGCGCCTGGACACGACTCCAAATCCGAGGGCCGGCCACAGACTCGGTCCTCAGGATGTGAGTGTACAGGACACTTCGCAGGCCTCAGCCCGGGGCTGCCCGTGTGGCGCCACCTACAGCGTGTTCTGGGGAAGCCACAGGGTCTTCACACCAGCCCCAAGCAAACGCCACTGGGGAAATCCATCTGAGCTAGAGTTAAAAACGGCAGATTAAAAAGATGGAACTTTTTAGGGTCCCTCCTGTTTATTAAAATAACAGTAATGGAAGATTTTACAGAAGGAAGGAGGGGTTACAGTTACAAAGGAAAATAAGCCAGGATAGTGGATGGAAAAATTAAAAGCCAATTTGTAAACGATGGAAAGCCCCTGGAAGAACATTTGACTCGGGGAGGGACAAGACTTACAATCTGGGTGCCTGCTGATCAGTGAGACACGGGCTGATTTACTCCCAGGAAACCCTTACAGGCTCGGGAGGTGGGGGCCTCAGGTGCAGGAGAAGCAGGTGGAGGGGCAGAGCTGAAAACTGCTTGCAGTTAGACACACCCTTCCGGGTCTCTGCTGCAACCTCACAAAGCCAAGCACATACCGTTCCCATCCCACCACCCTGTCAAAGATGGGAAGTTTATTCCGGAGAAAGTGGACCAGAAAGGCCTGGACTCAAGGGTAGCTGGTACTGTGTAAGGTGGCGGGCGGGGGGGAGGGGGCTAAGTGATGGGAAAGTCCACGTGCTGAATGGCGAGACAGTCAGCCACTTCCCTGCTCAGCTACCACAATGATGCCAAGCAGGTAATTGGAGAAACTTTTCCTGGAGAAATCAAAGGATTCTAAGAGCAAAGGAGTACCCGCATTGATATCTGGAGGTCTCCAGCGAGATGGCCTGGTGCCAGCTTCCTCATCCTGCAGTGAGATCACCTCGCAACAAACCCCACAGATACAGGGCTTCCGGTAAGCTTATCAGTACTTCGCTCTTGAAAATGAACAAAGATCCTCAAATTACAAACATCTGAAGAAAGCCTCCAACAGGCCAAAACCAATGACAGAAACTCAGAGAAAACAGAAATTCTAGAAGCAGAGAGAAAAAAAACCCATCAAATATATTAAAAATCCTCAGATAAATAAGATAGAATGTTTTATCCAAGAAATACGAACAGGCTCCTATAAAAAAGGAACCATCCAAAAGAAGAAAATAATTTTTGTTAATTAAAAAATGTGATAGCCAATGGCCGGGCATGGCAGCTCACGCCTGTAATCCTAGCACTCTGGGAGGCCGAGGTGGGAGGATCGCTTGAGCTCAGGAGTTCAAGACCAGCCTGTGCAAGAGGGAGACCCCATCTCTACTAAATATAGAAAAATTAGCCGGGCGTTGCAGCCTGTGCCTGTAGTCCCAGCTACTTGGGAGCCTGAGGCAGAGGATCACTTGAGCCCATGAGTTTGGGGTTGCTGTGAGCTAGGCTGACACCACTGCACTCTACACAGGGTGACATAGGGAGATCCTGTTTCAAAAAAAAAAGAAAAAAATGACAGCCAAATGAAAACTTCAGTAGAAGAACTAGAAGATAAAGTTCAAGAAATCTCCCCAAAAGCAAAAAAAAAAAATTATAATGGAGAAAGGGGGAGAAAAAACAAGGAAATCTGAGAACCAGCCCAGGATATCCAAAGTCTGATTAATCAAATCCTAGAAAGAGAAAACAAACAAAAATAATGGAAGAAAATCATCAAATAAATAATTAAAGAAAATGTTCAAGAATTGAAAAATATGCATTTCCACGCCAAGAGTGCCCAATGAACACCCGTAAAAATGGATAAAGATAGACCTGTATCAAAGTACAGCCTCGTGAATTTCAAATGCAGGATGGCATCAGATTTTATTGAAAGTTCCACTAGAAGCTAGAAGGCAATGGAAGCGACTGCCTACCTAAAATGCTAATCTCATCGAAGGAGGAAACTACCTACAGCAGAGCAGGTGGGGAATCCTTGATCACTAGTTAGGGGCTGTCCCAGAACAGCATGAGCAGCAGGCCTAGTCCCTGCAAGAGGACAAAGAGACAGCAGGGCCCCAGCAAGTCAGGATGAAGGAGAGAAAGAGCCTGGTGTGTCTGAATCTACTAGAATGAGATTTACATTTCTGGTGGAAAGTCTACTGAAACCCACTCTCCATTTAAGTACCAAATCGTGACAGATATATGAAAAAATAAGCAATAAAAAAGAAGATATTTAGTAACTCCAGAGGAAAATAAAAAGTAGTACACAAAAGCAAATGGAATTATTACACAGCATACTATGTGGCTCAGTGAGGAATAATATTTGCACAGTCATAATAAAGTAGAACTGAATAATGTGCTAATAAATAGATTGACATTCACACTACGGTGGGCTGAAAAGGGTGTGTGTCTATAGTGTGGAGAGTAACAGCGGGTGGCGTAAGAAAGCTGAATGCTTATCTTTGCATGTGAACTTTTTTTTTTTTTGGAGACAGAGTCTCACTCTGTTTCCCCTGCTAGGGTGCTGTGGTGTCAGCCTAGCTCACAGCAACCTCAAACTCCTGGGCTCAGGCGATCCTCCTGTCTCAGCCTCCCAAGTAGCTGGGACTACAGGCATGCACCACCATGCCCGGCTAATTTTTTCTATATATTTTTAGTTGGCTAATTAATTTCTTTCTATTTATAGTAGAGAAGGTGTCTCGCTCTTGCTCAGGATGGTTTCAAACTCATGACCTTGAGCGATCCTCCTGCCTCGGCTTCCCAGAGTGCTAGGATTACAGGTGGAGCCACGGCGCCCAGCCCTACATATGAACTTTTATCCCTCTGGAAGTTGTTAGGCTTTTCCCTCTATCCCTGGGGCTTTGTGTTCATGTTATGTGCCTGCAGGTGGACGTGCTGGATATTGGGTTCCTAGATAAAAGGATAGGGCTCCTAGATACTATCTATAGTATCTAGGAAGTCAACTTTGCTAAGACTTAAAAAATAAAAATTAAAAAGCAATGTAAGTGTATGATAGGTTAAGCATCCATAATCCCAAAATACTAAATATTAAAGGCTCCAAAATCTTAAATATTTTGAGCACTGACATGAGAGAGTGATGCCTTTACTTTCTGATAGCTCAATACACAAACCTTATCTCATGCATAGAATTGTTTAAAATATTGTATAAAATTACCTTCAGGCTATGTGTGTAAGGTGTATATGAAAGATAAAGGAATTTCATGTTCAGACTTGGGTCTCATCCTCAAGATGTCTCATTATGTATACACAAATATTCAAAAAAATCCAAACTCGAAACATTTCTGTTCCCAAGCATTTTGAATAAGGGATACGCAATCTGTATTGAGAAATACAGTGGCAAATCTAGAAGAAATAGCTAAAGAATTGAAAGAGACTGCTTTTGAGGGATGCAAGATAGGGACGCGGAGGGAGGGGGTGAGGGATTGTTATTGTTGGGTGTAAGTAAGCCTTACTGAAACATTTTACTTTTTTAAGCCTAAACTTAATTTAAAGGTAAAGAAATAATACATAAAAATTTCCCCAGACTGAATGACATGTGTATCCAGATTGAAAAGCCCAAGTTCCAGGGTTGCCAGGTTTAGCAATGACAAATAAAACCAAACAAGGGCACCCAGTTAAATTTGAATTTCAGATAGTGAGTAATCTTTTAGTATAAGTATGTCTGAAATATTGCAAAAATTACTCATAGTTTATCTGAAACTAACATTTAGCAGGCATCTTCTCTCTTATCTAGGAACCCTATGTCTAGCACGTCCACCTATAGGCACATAACCACGAAGCCCCGGGGATAGAGAGGAAATCCTAACAACTTCCAGAGGGATGAAAGTTCACATGCAAAGAAATCGGAAAAGTGTCGACTTCTCACAGCAAGACTGGAAGTTGGAAACAGTGGAGCAATGCCTTCAAAATTCTAGGAGAAAATGGTACCCATTCTGGTATTTTATATCCATACAATCACTAAGGAAGTTTGAGAATTGAATAAAGGCATTTTGGGGCACGCAAGGTTCGAAACGGTACTTTCCATACACCTTTTCTTAGAAACCTACTGGAGGATTTGCCCCACCTGACAAGAAATAGACCAATAAAGAAGAAAATGTATAG